ATAGCAGGAATACTGCTACAGGGCAGCACAGGTGCAAAAAATCATGTATATATACGTGATTTTGCACTTCCGGGTAAGGGGCGTGCGCGTGGCAATTTGCCACAGTTCTCTTCCCTGTCAGCTCCTGCACACTGCTTTGTATGGCTCTACATAGCAGAACCATACAAATCAGTGTGCTTACAGTTGAAAAGCACACACACAGCTTACTGTGAAACAGCACACAGTTAACCCTTTGATCGCCCCACATGTTAACCCCTTCCTGCCCAGTGCCATTAGTACAGTGTCAGTGCTTTTTATTAGCACTGATCACTGTATTGGTGTCACTGGGGATGCCAGTGACACCAAGTCAGTTCCCTCCAGTGTCAGAATGCCCACTGCAGTCCCGCTATAAGTCGCTGATCGCCGCCATTACTAGTAGAAAAAAAAAAATTCCAGTATATATACCACAGTTTGTAGTAGGTTGCGAAAACGTTAGCTATATCTTGTGGATTCGTAAGCGATGTGTGAGTAGTTGTGTGTTGAATTGAGGAGCTTTTAGATTTAAGACATCTTTGTTTGATTATTTTTGTTAATAGTGAGTTTGCTTTGTTACCTAGGGAATAAAATTGTGATTTCGTTTTTTGAAGGTTGAGGTCATATTTGTAGAGTAGGAGGGTTCGGAGTTTGTTTCTATCTGAGGTAAGAGATGCAGATGTGGAGGTGCTTGTGTTTTTTTTGTTTATTTCTTAGTTTAGTTTTATGGATGTTAGAAGTTGGTCAATTTGTTGGGATCTTAGTTTAGTGATTCGGGAATTTAGTTAGTAGAAATATCAGGCGTAGCATTAAATTCAAAGAATAGGTTGTGGGCTTCTAACAGGTATTTTTGGTTATTGGAGTTCTTTAATATTGTAGAATTCAGTCTCCAGATGGGAGGAATTGCAGAACTTTGAATGTCGTCTAAGGTTATGTTGATTGGAGCGTGGTTTGACCAGGTTATGGTGCCGATTTTAGATGATATTACGTGTTGTAAAGTCCATTTGTCCGTAATGAAGAAGTCGATTCTGGAGTAGGATAAATGAGAAGGGGAGTAGTAGGTGTAGTCTCTTTCAGTGCTGTGTTGGCATCTCCAAATGTCGTAAAGGTCGTGATCATGTAAGAAACGGTTGAAATTCTGTTTGGGGGATCTTTTGTTGGAAGACGAGTCTAGAAGTGGGTTGCCGATGACGTTAAAGTCTCTGCCAATGATAAGCCTGCCTTGTTTTTGAGAAGAGATGATGGTGTGGAGTTTATGGTAGAATTGCATCTGGTTGCTGTTGGGACCGTAGACATTTACTAGAGTATAGGGAGTATCGTTGATTTTGCAGACTAAAATATGATAGCGACCTTGAGGGTCAGCTATTTCTGAGATGTGGTGGAACTGTGTAGAGTCCTTTATAGCTGTAATAACACTATTTTTTGGGGGGAGTTAGTGGCCATATAGATGTGGGAGAATTGATGCAGCTGTAGTTTGGGGGTCTTGGTTGTTGCCAAATGTGTTTTCTGTAGGAAAAGTATGTCAGCATGAAATGTCCAAGTTTCCTTTTGGAGCATCGATCTTTTGAAGGGGGAGTTTAAGCCACGAACATTTAGGGATGTTATGTTAATCATAGTGTAGATCCTTGGTTTGGTTAGTGGAGTAGTTGAATTGTTGTTTTAAATGTTGAATGAAGTTGGATGGATATGGTCGTGAAAGGGAGAATTCTATAGTCTTGGTAGCACGGAATTGGCTCAATCGAAGAGTCAGAGGGTGTATTCCATGTTTATTCAGAGGATTCAGTTGAACCGGTGGTACACTTGGTTGACTGGTGGTGCAGGAGGAAGAGGAGGTGAAGGAGGTGAAAGGGGATAAAAAAACTTGCGTAAAATGCAAGTGACATGAGTAGCTTGGTGTGCTACTTCAAAACTGGGGGGTTTGAACAAGCATTGACCGTAAAGGAGGTCATGCCAAACAGTTTCTTGTAACGTGAACATTTTCTAAACAGGGCCGATCGCCAGAGATTAGTAGGATGGGATATAGCGTCCGAGGTGAAGTGTTGGAAGTGGATTGGAGGTGAGGTATGTCAGAGTCATTCTACTTCCATTTGTTGCGTATTAGTAGAGGTGGTTTGTTGGGGATCCACGGGTATTATGTTCCATGTTTTGCGCCGGCGGGGCATCGCTGGTGAGGGTTGTGTACCTCTCAGCTGTCAGACTATGGTGTTTATATCCCTCGGGGCTGGGGTGTGCCGTGTTAGGTCTGGCGGGTGGACGGAGCGGAGCTTACAGCGCATCCATCCAGGAGCCGGCTGCGCATGCCCCCCTATACCGCCATTTGTAGACGCTATAACTTTCACATAAACCAATTAATTTACATGTATTAGGATTTTTTTTTAGCAAAGACATGCAGCAGAATACTTCTTGCCCTAAATTTATGACGAAATTTGATTTTTACAATTTTTTTATTGGACATGTTTAATAGCAAAAAGCCAAAAATATTGTTTTTTTCTCAAAATGTTCAGTTTTTTTGTTTATAGTGCAAAAAATAAAAAAACGCACAGGCAAACAAATACCACCGAAAGAAAGCTCTATTTCTGGAAAAAAAAGGATGTAAATTTCATTTGGGTGCAGCATTGCATGACTGCACAATTGTCAGTTAAAGTAACGCAGTGCCGTAATGCAAAAAATGGCCTGGTCATGGCAGCTCCCCTTCCACTCACCCCTTCCACTTACCTGACCCCGATCTTGATCCATCAATGTGCATGAGAGTAGCAGCTCTCTCGGTTCTAATAAAAAAATATTGTGATGATGTGAACCTGTGAGCTACTATGGTGGTATATAAATACTTATAGATAATTAACTCCTATAAATGTGACTCTCTCGGTTCTCTTCCTATTTATTGGCTCCTGCGGCTGGGAATCACAACCAGTGAGGAGGTTGCGATGGGTGGGGTTGAGCCACTCCCTTTGTGTCTTATGGACGCCCAGAGCTGGCTGAGGAGCATGCCTGCACGAATGCTTCCATAGCAAGTAACTTGCTATGGGTGCACTTGGCAGGAGGGAGGAGCCAGGAGTGCAGTCGGGGGTACCCCAGAAGAGGAGAATCGGGGCTGCTCTGTGCAATGTTAAGTATTAATGTTATAAGTATAACATGTTCTTATTTTTTACAAATAAACTTTACACATAAACAAGAGACTTTTTTTGCTATGTTTTGTTCCATTTTTTATGTAGATAAGGTCTGTGGCTTTTATGGTTTCTGCCATTATTGCTATAACTTTCTCATTTTGCTACAGAAATTGTATGATTAGCATAACATCACTGTAACTAAGCCACCTGCTTATCTTTATATTGTGAAGCCGCATCTAGCAGTTGGCATTCACAGACTGGCTTCTAAGAGCTCAGTTGTGCTAGAGGTCATATTATGTATTTTGTAACATCGGTGCTCTGATCTGAAACATACTTTATATTATGAGGTATGAGGAAGGCATTTTCCCATAGAATGGAAACAGTTTTGTTTACTTGCAAATTATATTTTACAGTTACATTGGAATCATCAAATCTATGCACCATTTAGGCAGTCCTAGGTATGGACCTTATTGCTGAGTTATCTTTAGTTATTCTTATATAGAATATTTTGCTCCATAAGGCACACCTGACCATAAGACGCACCTAGGTTTTTTGAGGAGAAAAACAAGAAAAAAAAAATATTCTGAAGCAGTGGACTGCAGACATAGTACAGGAAATGACCAGAGACTGCAGACACAGTACAGGAGATGACCAGAGACTGCAGACATACTACAGGAGATGACCAGAGACTGCGGACATAGTACAGGAGATGAGATGACCAGAGACTGCGGACATAGTACAGGAGATGACCAGAGACTGCGGACATAGTACAGATGACCAGAGACTGAGGACATACTACAGGAGATGACCAGAGACTGCAGACATAGTACAGGAAATAACCAGAGACTGCAGATGTACTACAGGAGATGACCAGAGACTGTGAACATAGTACAGGAGATAACTAGAGACTGCGGACATACTACAGGAGATGACCGGAGACTGCGGACATAGTACAGGGGATAACCAGAGACTGCGGACATACTACAGGAGATGACCGGAGACTGCGGACATAGTACAGGGGATGAACAGAGACTGCGGACATACTACAGGAGATGACCGGAGACTGCGGACATAGTACAGGGGATGAACAGAGACTGCGGACACAGTACAGGAGATGACCAGAGACTGTGGACACAATATAGGGGATGACCGGAGACTGCGGACATACTACAGGAGATGATCAGAGACTGCGGACACAGTATAGGGGATGACCAGAGACTGCGGACATACTACAGGAGATGACCAGAGACTGCGGACACAGTACAGAGGATGACCAGAGACTGCAGACATACTACAGGAGATGACCAGAGACTGCAGACATAGTACAGAGGATGACCAGAGACTGCAGACATACTACAGGAGATGACCAGAGACTGCGGACATAGTACAGGAGATGACCAGAGATTGTGGACATAGTACAGATGACCAGAGACTGAGGACATACTACAGGAGATGACCAGAGACTGCAGACATAGTACAGGAAATAACCAGAGACTGCAGATGTACTACAGGAGATGACCAGAGACTGTGAACATAGTACAGGAGATAACTAGAGACTGCAGACATACTACAGGAGATGATCAGAGACTGTGGACATACTACAGGAGATGACCAGAGACTGCGGACACAGTACAGGGGATGAACAGAGACTGTGGACATACTACAGGAGATGACCAGAGACTGTGGACACAGTATAGGGGATGACCAGAGACTGCGGACATACTACAGGAGATGATCAGAGACTGCGGACACAGTATAGGGGATGACCAGAGACTGCGGACATACTACAGGAGATGACCAGAGACTGCGGACACAGTACAGAGGATGACCAGAGACTGCAAACATATTACATGAGATGATCAGAGACTGCGGACACAGTACAGGGGATGACCAGAGACTGCGGGCACAGTACAGGAGATGACCAGAGACAGCAGACATACTACAGGAGATGACCAGAGACTGCGGACATACTACAGGAGATGACCAGAGACTGCGGACACAGTACAGGGGATGATCAGAGACTGCGGACATAGTACAGGAGATGACCAGAGACTGCAAATACAGTACAGGGGATGACCAAAGACTGCGGACACAGTACAGGAGATGACCAGAGACTGTGGACATAATACAGGAGATGACCAGAGACTGCAGACACAGTACAGATGACCAGAGACTGCGGACATAGTACAGATGACCAGAGACTGCAAACACAGTGCAAGGGATGACCAGAGACTGTGGACCTTTGGGGAGGGAGGGGGAGCGGGTACTCGAATTTGACAGGTATCAGCTCCCAGTTCCGTGGAGTTGTCCTACCTCCCTGTCTTCTGGGACACGTGACAGGTCCCAGAAGACTGGCGGACCATTCACAAAGCGCAGCTTTTCTCGCGCATGTTCAGTGGGCACCCGGCTGTCACAGCCAGTGCCCACACTAAAGATGCTGGAGCCGGGAGAGAAGACTGCGCAGCGCTGGACTGAGGAACAGGTAAGGCTCTGCTGCAGAGAAGAGCCAAACAGCCTGCCCGGTATTCTGACACGGCGACAGCGGGAATACCGGACTGGCCGCTCCATATTGGCTCCATAAGGCACACAGACATTTTTCCCCATTTTTTTTGGGGAAAAAAGTGCGTCTTATGGAGCAAAAAATAAGGTATATATCTTTTCCCCCCAGTATATATATATTTAACAATCTGTTATACTTAGAAGTAAATATCAGTCTCCTTGTTGAAAAAAACCCTAATCAGAAAAACTAATGGGACTTTAAAGGTACCAAACCATACCAATAAAAGTGAATTGAACAAATATAGGAACAGCAGATAAAATTGAACACCTATTAATAGGTTAAAAAACCACTCATAGGTTGAGCATATTCATCAGACATAAAGAACCATAAAAATAAAATACAGAAAGTGAGACCCGGCCACAGTAAATTGTTGCTGATGTCCTAGACGCAGACGGCGTCACGAGTATCAACCGCAAAAAACAGCAGCCATAGCCTTAGAGCAAACAGGCTAAACTGTACAAATAGTGGATAAGATGGTACATGGCTATCAATGGAAACTGATAATTGTGTTAATGTTGATATAGAACACCTAACCAGATAGTATCATAGGTGTTGAAGAACAAATAAACATGTAGTTTGCACTTGAAACCATGAAAAGGTACTTTGTTTTGGGATTCCAACACATTTCGTGGGACAGAGCCCACTTCTTCAAGGAACAAGACAAAACATAAATTTCAGTTGATGATACCAGCACAATCTCAGATAGCTCCTGCAAGATATGGGTCAATCGTATCTGGATGGACAGATACGATAACAACCATAAATAATGATCATCGATCAAGAAAGAATCCAAGTCCACTTGAAGACTTGTAAAAAACAGAGTCATCATTCATTGAATCAGAGATCTATTGGCCAAATGCTACAGATCACCAAGTATAGTAGGGCTCAGATTACTTTCCATCAGTGGAGAAAAGTTTCTTATCAAAGGAGGGGGAGGGAAAAAACTCAAGCCCTCTTCCCCATTTGTAGTCCTATCAGTCTTCTTGTGTTAACATTTCTAAAAAAAAATGCCATGAAAACAATGTTTGCACAAGCTCGTATAATTGCTGTGTATTGGGTAAATTGCAGTTGATGACCATGTACACATTTTAGTTGCTCCCATTGTTTTGCATATATCATACTTCAGTGCCATCTAGAGTGAGTAATAAAATGCTTCACTCATAGAAACTGATGCAGAAAAGGTTATGTGCATGTGGGAATGGCTATCCAAAATGTCCTAAATAAAAGGCCAGCAGCATAAGCTGAAAGAAGGCCACATAACAACAGAAGAACTAAGAAGGAAAGTTTGTGCTAGAGGGAACAAAGAAGGAACTTCAGTTGGGGATGATGCTAGCACCCGAGCTCCTATAGTTGCTGAAGTAGAGCCTGGAGCTCTGTTTGTTATGGAAATCGCAATCTATAACTCAAGATAACATTTTAAAGTATCCCTATTGTATACAGATCATTGTCCATGCTTATTCGTTGGGAATGCTAGGTAGCGTGAGCATGTGTTAAATGTATATCTGTAATACTCTGTATGTCTTGTATTGTTTTCTTACAATTGTAAGTAGTTTGTTTGTACAGCATTCTTTTTTAGCACAATAATATACTACAGAGGTTTTTGCTTCCTTGCATTACTGCTAAGTGACATAAAGAGACAAAGCAAAATACCTTATGTATTTTGATCCAAACAGCTGCCTTGTATTCCAACTGACTTTACTGATTTGTGGCTGCACTGCTAACATGGTACATTGGCACATGTCCTGCTTCTGTTGCTGAAGAAGGAAAAGAAGTCTCAGGAACAGCACATCACACAAGCAACCTCAGTCTAGACTCCATCCAAACCACGGCCCGAGCATATTTCGCCCCCTTCACAGGGCTTACTCGTTCTGTTGCTAATTTTAACCTATATTTTGAAAAGGTTTCCCTTTCTCATTGGTGCATCACCAAATCAGCTAGTGCCCTGACTTTTGTTTAGAGCCCAACTCCAGGTTGAGCACACACCCCCCCCACACACACACATATTAGGTTTTATATTTTTTTTTTTTGCCTACATACACTACTGTGTAAAGGTTTTAGGCTGGTGTTAAAAATTCAGTATGTAGCCAAGTGCTGGCTATATCATTATGCCATTCAGGGACATTTACATATGACACTATGGTTAATCCTTTTTCCCCCTAGTGCCCAGTACTGGGACTGCTACATCACTTCCTATTCGCAGAGTGGATCCAGTTCTTCTGACAGCAGAGGATGCTGGGACCCCTACAACCAATATATACTGCATTTATGAGCACTGATTGAACTACAACTACCAAAGAGCTGGGGAACCAGAAGGTTGCTGGGAGAGAAGTTATATTCTACTGCAAAGAAGTGCCTCACCCTCTTGGTGCAAGATTCAGAGCTGAACACAGGGGGACTACCATTCTCCACCAGAGACAAGTTGCTAGCTGCTACTGCAGGACTCTCAGCACAGTGATGATGCAGATTGCCACATTGGGATTGCATAAGTGTCTGTGCATTAGGACTGTCACTATCCAGTCTTCAGCCAACCATTTCTCTTACCACACTGACAGGCTGTCAGGTAACTCTGCACTTCTCTGTGAACAGCCAAAAACCTGTGCAAGAACCCTGTTCCTAGGAGGCCGTGACCGGGCGGATGCCCAACCTCTTTCTGACAACACTCTAGAGACCCTGCATGCAGCCACCTTTACATCTCAGTACCAAGAGATCTTTGCTTTGTGCATTTACCACATCCTATCTTTTATTTTCTTTGAATTACTGTTACTCACCACTGTATATGGGCCCCACCGTTGCTAGCAGAAGACAATGGCTACTATCACATCAGGAGCTTTAAACATTTCAGGACTCAAGTTGCTATTTCTAGTTAAAGGAACTTTAAGAGACAGCTAAGCCATTGTTATTCAAATTAGGGCGTCTATACCCATTTAGGCCAATATATATATATATACAGTATATGTATTTATTTATAATTCTTTGCATTCCCTGTTGTGGCACCGGAATCCAAGAGGGAGCTGATAAGTCAACAAGCCTTTTCTTCCCCCTCCTGTTGCTGGTGTTGCAGTTACATAGTTACAATGTACCATTTGTGACCATTTAATCTGTTACCAATGGTATTTTGTTATTTCCATTTTCTTAGTGTTTTGCTGTTATGCATTAATTGAGGATGTCCCTCCTAAACCTTCATTCTGTAGTTTACTCTTTTGAACGAGCCTAATATAGAGATGTTACTAAAGAATAGTGTCTCTTGCATTAATATTTCATACTGTTGAAATATGTCTGAACCCAGAGTGTCAGAGTTGATGGGTTAGGGCAACCACTGGGGACAAGCTTTGTCAAGCGGCCCCTGCGGGGGTAGAGCTACACATAAATTAAGAATGATTTCAGAAATAGAAGTGATAATAGTTTATTCTTATCAATTACAAAATGCAAAGTAGATGGACAGAAGAGAAATCCAAACCAAATCAATCTTTTCTGTGAACACCTTTACCTTCAAAAGAGAATCAATTCTTACTCACACTTTTTGAAAGTACTGCAGGTTGTTCCACATATCTTGGAGAACTAACCACAGATCTTCTGTGGATGTTGGCTGCCTCAGATCCTTCTGTCTCTTCATGTAATCCCAGACAGACTTGATGATATTGAGATCAGAACTCTGTTGGGGCCAAACCATCACTTCCAGGACTCTTTGATCTACTTTACGCTGAAGATAGTTCTAAATGACATTAGCTGTATGTTCTGGGGTTGTTATCCTACTGCAGAATACATTTGGGACCAATCACACGCCTTCCTGATGGTATGGCATGAAGGATAAGTACAGTGCCTTGAAAAAGTATTTATACTCCTTGAAATTTTCCACATTTTGTCATGTTACAACCAAAAACATAAATGTATTTTATTAGGATTTTACGTGATAGACCAAACAAAGTGGCACATAATTGTGAAGTGGAAGGAAAATGATAAATAGTTTTCAGAATTTTTCACAAGTAAATATCTGAAAAGTGTGGCTTACATTTGTATTCAGCCCCCTGAGTCAATACTTTGTAGAACCAACTTTCGCTGCAACTACAGCTGCAAGTCTTTTTGGGGATGTCTCTACCAGCTTTTCACATCTAGAGAGTGACATTTTTGCCCATTCTTCGTTGCAAAATAGCTCTGTCAGATTGTATGGAGAGCGTCTATGAACAGCAATTTTCAAGTCTTGCCACAGATTCTCAATTGGATTTAGGTCTGGACTATGACTGGGCCACTCTTACTCATAAGTATGCTTTGGTCTAAACCATTCCATTGTAGCACTGGCTGTATGTTTAGGGTCGCTGTCTTGCTAGAAGGTGAACCTCCGCCCCAGTCTTTTGCAGATTCTAACAGGTTTTCTAAGATTGCCCTGTATTTGGCTCCTTCCATCTTCCCATCAACTCTGACCAGCTTCCCTGTCCCTGCTGAAGAAAAGCATCCCTGCAACATGATGCCCCCACCACCATGTTTCACGGTGGGGATAGTGTGTTCAGGATGATGTGCAGTGTTAGTTTTCTGCCACACATAGTGTTTGCTTTTAGACCAAAAAGTTCAATTTTGGCCAAAGCACCTTCTTCCACATATTTGCTGTGTCCCCCACATGGCTTCTCACAAACTGCAAACGGGACTTTTTTAATGGCTTTTTTTTAACAGTGGCTTTCTTCTTGCCATTCTTCATGAAGGCCAGATTTGTGGAGTGCACGACGAATAGTTGGACAGATTCTCCCACCTAAGCTGTGGATCTCTGCAGCTCCTCCACAGTTACCAGGGGCCTCTTTGCTGCTTTTCTGATTAATGCTCTCCTTGCCTGGCCTTTCAGTTTAGGTGGATGCCCATGTCTTGATAGGTTTGCAGTTGTACCATATGCTTTCCATTTTCAGATGATAGATTGAACAGTGCACTGTGAGATGTTCAAAGCTTGATATATTTTTTCATAACCAAACCCTACTTTAAATGCCTCCACAACTTTATCCCTGACCTGTCTGGT